ACATTTCATTTTTTCCTTCCATAATTTATTAGCAGAAAAAATAAAACGTTAAATGACAAAATTGTAGAAAATACAAAACATGCCTCATTTACACAGCAAATTCTGGTTTGAAATTGAACCTATAATATGCGCAAGAGAAGGTTTCGACTCTGACACATTACTTTGTTTTGCACAGACTGCTTACTCAATTATTTATAAATCCAAGTACAGCAGAGAAAATTTGTACAGTCTACCAAATTTTTCAATTCATGACTGAATAATCCATCAGTAATCGAATAGAAGAAAAAAATTATTTTTTAATCCAAAATTATTAGTGTCAAATACCACAATAAAAAAAATACTATGAATAAAATACAAATCTATAAAACTTGCTTTTTAAATGATCAACAAGAGGCAAACTACACAGCATAACAAATAATTACCTTTCTCGTATGTTCTGCGAGTACTTCAGCCATGTGTATTTTCTATGATTTCAATTCGTTGATTTAGATTCCTTCTCGTAAAATATTCATCAAACCAGTAACCTTTCCATCGCCTTATAACTGAATGAAATCAAATTCAATTTATATCATTAAGCACAATATTTTTATAACATTGCGAGGAAAACAGTTTAGGGAAAGATAAAGAATATACAAAATGTAAAATAATGTATCATTATTTTGTGAACAGAAAGTTAAATTGCATTTTGAAAATAAATAATTGTTTATCACAAGTTTCTTGACAAATTAATTGGAACCAGTTTAGCTAACAATTTTTCACGTACATACAAGTAACTAACAATTTTTCACGTACATACAAAAATTAACGCTGCCATCATTAAAGAAATATTTTTGCGTGAAAAATTCAATTGATTTATCACATAAGTAAAACAATCTGTCACAGAATATTGATTTTAGCAGTCCCTCAATATTTTTCGAGAATCATGAAAAAAGTATTGGAGTAATGTAAAGTCAATTTTATTAACTGAACTTATGAATTTAATCAATTAATTACAAAAATGTATTTACTCCCTCAATTTTTTTTAAGAAAAAAATTTTCACCAATTAACGAAACTGATTAATTCCCTTGTTGTATGGTCAGGAAGATTTTGAAATGGTGCGAAAACCCTTTACAGATTACAAACGGACTTGAAGCACCAAAAAGGTCTCAATAATTTGAAATTGGACACTTTTGCCTCATTTTTTCAAAAAGGTTTTATGTACATGATGATATAGGGTACTTTTAAGGGCATAAACAAGTATCTCTGAGCAACAATCATTGACCTCTAGCCTCAATCTTATGAGTGTTAAGCTTATATGATTTACGCAAAACGTAGCTACATCTGATCAGGCAAGAAATTATTTCCAGATTTACATTTGACTTTTAAAGCAGACCTTGATTTTTTTCAAATTGTAACCCATTTCTTTCACAAGCTAAAGTTTTTTTTGAGAATCCTAACTAAGTTCATCAAATCTAGTACGCTCCCTCCGACAACATGCGTACATACGCACAAATTATATTAATATATGTAGCAAATATCATATAGTAATTAAAAAGATGACACATGAATTGCGGCCCGTGAAAAGTATTCCCTGCAATTTTGATCGGATCAAGAGGAAAAAATTATTGTGAGCTACTTTTGCCTCCATATATGGAAAGAGTAATTATGCTTAAGTCACTTAGTGAACAAAGTTAAAAAGTTTAGAGTAATTTAGATACAACCTGATGTAATGTTGTATTTTTTGCACATTGACCACAAATTTCTTGCTAATCTATGAAAAGTCAACAAAAGTAACATAGAAAGTTGGTGATGCTAATTTGCGTGATTGTGAATAATTAGTAATACTTCTTTCTAAAATTTTGTATTTGAAAAGAAATTTAGGGAAAGATCTCGTATTTTATATAATATAATACGAAAAGAACTGAGTGAAAAACTTTGGTTGAAAATTTTTTCTGGTTGATTATTTCAAAAATTTTCTTTTTACTCAAAAATATTTGTCAAATTTGAAATTTTGACACAAGAACTAAAATTATTATTTAAAATAAGTTTTTTTCAAAAACGAAAAATACTTTGAATCAGTATTTAAAAATAAGTTGTTATTAAAAGCGAAAAGCATTTGTAAACTTTTATGATATTATTATAACTTATGCTGTACCATGCTAAATAATAAAAACCATTAAAGTATAATGCAAAATAAATGGTATTAGGTAAGGAAACGAAATTAATTATTTGAGTATGTAAGTTTGATAAAAGGAAATATTTGAAATTAAAAATATTAACTGATGTATATGCAATTAAAGGTTAATCATACAACTCTTAATCTTTTTGTTTTTTTTTCCTTATATAACCGCAAAGAATGATGCCAGTTTTGAGAAATATCGTAATAAGAGTAATATGGCATAAAATTAAAAAACATGTAATCATCTGAAATGAAATAAAGCCATAATTATATTGGAATTGAATAAGTAAATTAAAATTTTTAAGTAAAGAAAATGTTGCTATATTTCAGGCAAAAAGTTAGCATAATTAATGCGATGCAGCTGTACAATATCATCAACCTTTAGACGAGCTTTCTTAGGCCAACTGTTGGCAGCTAAAAATTATTCAAGTCCTTAGATTGAAGAATATGTCTTGATGATAAATAGTCTTGGCTAATTGACCCCTAAAACTTTACAAATACTTTGAATATAATCAACGAGAAAAATATGACAGATGTTTAATAGCATATTGATTATTTCCACCTGTTTTACTTCTTTTAAACATTCTCGATATTCTCAAATAAATGAGAAGAATAGAACTGAGAGATTTTCGCTCAATCCGAGATGTCTCAGGGGAATAAATGCTACATCGGGAGATGCATTTTTGTGAATGATATTCTACTTTGCATTTAAATTTTACTTTGTATTTAACCTTTTTTTTTCTCATTTTGAATTTTGACTTCATTTCTTTAATGTGATTAGTGAATTTCATTGCATTTATACAGTAGACACTGCTTCTGTTCACTAAAGTAGTCCAATTTTTGAAAATAAAATTTAAAAAATTTTAGAAGCAAAAATTAGAAATAGAATTTATTGTACTTTTTGACATAAACTTATAACATCGCAAGCATTCAATTTTTGAATGTTTTGAAACTCAAAAAAGAAGAGCATTTTTAACAGCTTATTCAGAAATGTTAACTTCGAATTGCAGAAAAAAAGATTGCATTCTCGAAACATCGCGATATTTTAGACGTAACGAGAAATTACGGTTAAATTTTTTCGGAAAAGTCAAAGAGAAGACGAAATAGATAAGAAAGGATTTAACTGGCAAGAATTCTAGAATGACAATAATGATTTACGAGTAGAATATGCCAAGAATTTCTTACTCTTGGGCCTTACTTATTTATGCTAGGCTTATTTATGCGTCTACAGATGGATGCATCTTAGCTATAAACACCATTTATCAATTCACGATAAAATAAGTGAGAAACGTATATTTTAATTTTTCTTCATTTATTCTTTCAGATTTTATTTGAGATTTTAGATGAAATGAGTAAGTTTGAGACAGTAGTCTTGTAAGACTGCTAAAGAATTTGAAGTGTATTCAAGTAAGAAACTATTATTAAAATTTCAGTGCACATTTTTTAGATTTAAATTCTGTCAACAAAATAGTAATTTGATACTTTTTAAATTATTATGCTTTTACCAAAAGAACTGTAATAATTTAATTCTGAAGTATTGTTTAGACTATTCATGAACTGTTTGTAAGCAAGAAGTTATATTACTATAATAATCTATTATTTAAAATGGTGGAATTAATCCATCAAACATTAACAGAATTAATGTTTGTAAAAATTCGATCTTCTTACCATCTGTTCATGGATTTGAACTTTACCCTTGAGGATTTTGTTTTTAGCAAGGCTCTTTTTGAGAACTAATGGATGAGCATATTAATGCAAAATAAAGTAATACTTCTTCTTGCTTTTTAACTTGAAAATATCCTTCTAATTTTTTGATATTTTTGAAAATATATCTTAAATCAACTCATTCTCTCTACTGTAGCTACATTTTTATTTTGTTCATTTATAAATGTAAATATTAAATTTCAAATTAATTAATTAGATGAAAATTTAAAATTTCACTAGAATTTTTTTCACTTAAATGTTTAGGAAAGAATCTCAAAATAGTTTCTAATGCTAATATCTGTGGCATTTTATAGTTCCATAAATGGTACGTTTGCTTTACACTCTGCAATTAAATACCCAGCAAAAATGATTTTTTTTTTAATCAAAAAATAACTTTACATTTATTTCTTTTTTTAGTTTCATTTTTTAACAAAAAAAGGAATGATTTACTTGTCTTTAAGATATATCAATTTCAGAAAAATTTATTAAGGTTTCTTTCAGCAAATAACAAAAAAGAATCATAAATTCTGAAGTTCTTAATGTTTTTCCACTTACAAACAAAAGTAGTAATTAATCGTTATTTAATGATAAGGAACAATTTTATTTATTAAAATTCTATAAAACTATGCGTTAATTTTAAAATAATTTTTGATGTTAACATTTGTGGCATTTTATAGCTCGATAAAACGGTACGTTTATTTTTGTTTATATTTATATATACAAATTATTTTATATATCTGATTAATTAAAATTTTTTCATCACGTGACTTTTCAATTACAATCACTTAACCTTTTAAATGTTTTAGAGTTATTTTTAAAGTTTATTAAATATTTAGTTTTTGATCTCTTTCTAACATAAAATTATCACGAACATAAAACAATCAACAAAATCTTAATGCATATTTCAAAACAAATATTAAAAATTATTGGAACAAAAAAAATATTGATAGTATTTTGGAATTAATTTCAATTGCAATAATCTTTGATAAAAATTAAAATTTTATTCATATTACAATAATTAAACAAGAAGATTTAATACTGTCAAGTTTTTTTAGTTTATATTTATACAAAATGTTATATATCTGACTGATTAAAATTCTGATTAATTTAATTAATAATTCACAAGCATAAATCACCTTATTTTAATCTACTCATACAGTAAGTATCTTTAACAATAAGTCTTTTTCTACGTATTAATTCCTTCTCGACTTTTCTTCTTCTAAATGCAAATTTTGTAGATAAAAACGTCGGCAAACTTTGTAATTCACTTTTGATATTAAACGTGAAATAACCGTAGACGTATGCATTAAATGAGCTATTCGTTGTTGCAAACATATACAAAATTTTCACTATTATCGATGGAATCACAATGTTTTTTTGCGATCGACCCGTCTGAAAGTTTTTTCATCACGTGACCTTTCAATAACAATTACTTGATCTTTCAGTTAGAAATAGAATACTTTGAAATACTTAACTAATTAAAATTTACAGTTTATATAAACTTTTTCTTACATTTGCTTACACTTTTCAATTTTAAGAGACTGTTAACTTTTTAGTTAATATTAATATAAAGATTATTCAATAACAGTAAATTATGAAAATTTGAAAGAGTGATATTTGCTTGCATTAAAATTTAATACTGTACTTAACATCCGATACGGTGTTTCAATGCACTGCACGAGGAAAATCGCACAGTTTTTATATGAATTTTATTTTATCTCATTATCGTAAGCTTTTATCTCACTAACTAAGTGTTTTATAGTAAGCTTTTAAAACCCTTGTTATAGAATTACTGTCTAAAAATCTCTACTGTGTTATAAACTTCTGTAAATTCAGTTTTGCTTCAAGTTTCAGTTATTGTAGTCCTGCTTTTACTTATTTCTAAAATTAATTTTCTATTTTTTTTGATTACTTTGTAAAATCAAACAAAATTTTTATAAAAAATATTGTAATACAAAATATAAAACTATAAAAGTACAGTATACATTATTATTTACTTAATGTGTAAATTTTTTCAATAAATGAATATGTTTAATTATACATAATAAAGTTTTGAAAAAATTTTTCTTCTTAAATTTCAAAAATCATAAATAAATAAATAAACTAATTAATTAATTAATTGAATAAATAATACTTTGTAATCGACGTCAATAAAATGCAAAGTAGCTGCAGCATAATATGGAGTCCAGCATAGTAAAAAAAATGTTACAATACTCCATGTCATTCGAATAATTTTCATTTTCGCTTTTCGAAGTTTTAGAGTGTAAGACTTGGCCAAGTTTATTCTACTATTATTATATAAGCTTGATTCACCTGAATAATTTACTCGATGCATTGAATACAAACTCATTAATTATTAAAATGTGTTATTATTAAAAAAACAAACTATTCTATTTAATTACTTATAAAAATTAATTCCATTAAAAAAGGAATACAAATTCATTAATTATTTAAATGTACTATTAATAAAAAAAGAAATTATTCAATTTAATTACTTATAAAAATCAATAAATTCAATAAAAGAAAACAAAACAATCAAAAAGCATACTATTAGTAATAACACCAATTACCATGCAATTGCGCTCGGCATTATTCATAACTGCAATATTCATTACTTCAAATACCTAATAATTATGCGCAGTGTATGTGAATATATTTTAATTTTGACAAAATAAAATTTGTTTTTTAAATTTTTAAAAGTTCGTGAAAATAACAAGTTAGAAGTCAGATAAATTTTCAAACTTTCAGATTTTTACTGTTAATGAATACTTACAGTATTGCTGAAGGGTTTCGCATGTTTTAAATGTGTAATGAATTCGACAGTAGCAACAAACAATAACACAAAGTGGCAAAAAATATATATATAAAGCAGTTGCGATTGTATACGCTAGAACATAACGGGAATCAAGAAGACCCACGTAATCACGCGCAACACACTGCGTTAATTTTTCATTGCATGGGTGCGATGCTACTGTGAATATGCCTACCTAAATATGCAAATTAGCATTATTATTAAAAAATAAACTATTCTATGTAATTACCTATAAAAAAGTACAGTTTTTCTTAAATATTTATCGTTATAAGCAAAAATAAAATTATAAATTCATAAGTTACATCAACTTTGGTTGATGTGAATTTGAATATGAACTTATACTTAACTTGCAGCAAACAATATTTGAACGCAAAAATTGGTAGATTAATTCTATTTATTTGGGTATACTTTTAAATTAGAAAACGATAAAAATAAAAATTACAATGACTTCAAACTTAGCCCAAAAGCATATCATTTGTAGTTATTATTTTAGGTATAATATTTTCCAGTTTTCAATCTTAAATTTAAAAATGGTTCCAATTTTAATCTTTTGCTTACTAGAAAAATCCAGAGACCATTTCTGTTCTGTGTAAAAAAATTATTATTTCAAAAAGTTTAATTCTTAATCATTTTGTACAGATTAAAGTTATTGTTAGCAATATATTATATATATTTTGAGCAATTAATATGAAATAATTATAAGGACAATTTTGTAAAAAGCAATGACATTATTTTATATTTGGTGAAATTTAAAAAATTGCTGAAAATAATTATTAATAATAAATAAAGTTACTTGAGGTAAACTGATAAGAAAGGCAGTAGACCATGCAAAAAATAACATTATTTTATTTCGTTCAATACCATTAAATACAGAAAATGGCCTGGAAACAGAGAGCCATCGGTCAACGCACATGCAAACCAGAACTGCCGATGATAATGAAACACCGAATATATCGAAGAATCGTGTAATCTGAAGGAAAGTTTTGTGAGTTAAAATTAGTTTATTTCATTTATGGATAAGCAGAAAATTGGATTAATTACTGCACTAGTTAGCAGTTATATTTAAATTCTGCAAGGATAAGAACTTTTTTAAATTCATTTATTTATTTTTTACACGCTTCTTATGCTTTATCTGAAAAACTAATTTTAAAATGAATAAATTTTAAAATATTTTAAAATTTAATTCTTAATTATAGAGTTTTGTAATTATTGATCTTATTTATAAATTCAAACTCTTATTGAAATAAAACTGATAAAAATTAATTTGCTAACTTTGAATTCCTTGTATTTTACTTGGTTTATTTTTTAAAATTTATTCATTTATATTTTTTTAAATAAATCAGGAATGCATTAAACTCACATATTTTTCATGCATATTTGCATATCACTTTTATTGCTCTATCATTTAGCTAAATTTACTTTTACAAATTATTCAAATTACAGCAAGTTTTACATAAAAATAAGAGCTTACTTTACACAAAACAATGCCACCATACCAATACTTGGTAATTGAGTGTAATATTTGTTTAGGTAAGTATTCAAATGTTACTATAAGATCAGCAATATTCATATGTAATAATAAAATAAATACTCGAAGAGTATGTTTTATGCATAAATTGCGATAAATAATGAGAAGCATTCCAACATTACCGACTGCAGCAAAACAAAATAGTACAATATGACAGATAATCTGAAATAATTTGATTTCAAATTATTTAAATTCAATCAAAACACATAATTTTAAGCAAAAAAAAAAATATTTTACCACTGAATACAAAATGATTAGAGCAAATTTTGCTTTAACTTGCAAAAGTAAATTCAAAATGTCAACAAACTCTAACTTATATACAATAATTACTGTAGTCTTAGATGCTCACAAACAGGCAACTACTGTAATAGTTTTAAAATTTAGAGAGAAATGTTTTATGACAAAAATATATGAAAAGTTTTATAAACTTTGTTCAAAGTAAGATAATTTTAAAAATTAATTATTCGGTTATTTAGATGAAGTTATCAAATTAGTGCAGAAAATTATTTTAACTTATAATTTTGTTCAACTTACCAATGCATAGGTACTAGCATCTTTACGAAGTTGAACGGTATAGTTGGAACAGTTCATATTAGACAAATAAATATTTTAATAACACTGCTGATTTGATCGTGATCTAAAAAATAACTTAAAACATACGTAATAATGATAATAATAATAATAACCATAAATAATAATAATTTTATATTATTCTCTTATTATTATTTGCTTGATTTTCATTGCTTTTGTTTTATTATTATACACTATATCATATATTACTTTGAAAACGATATAATACGTCAGCAGTCTTCATAATAAAAGTATATGACTGCACTGTTAAAGTTGCAAATGTGACACTACCACGAAAAGTACTCAGTAAAAAACATTTCCACTAATGAGATAAAGTGCTATCACATCCTGCCAAGCCCATCAACAATTATATTAGTTAACGAGTTGTTCGGTTCTTCAGCAACTAATATGTCTACTAAAAATAATTTTTCATTTGTTTTTTTTTTTTTAAAAAAAAATTGATTATTTTTGAAAGCTAATTCTAATTTGCTTACGAGCTCATCAACGATGTGCTTAATTGTTTTTTCACATTTTAAGAATATTTTAATAATAGTCTTAATCTCTGCGCATTTTCGATTTCAGTCTTGAATACAATTTTTTCGAAAGCAAAAACAAAGTCACAAAAATTAAATTGAATACAACAAATAAATCATAATATCAAGTAGAAATTAACTAATGTTATTTAAAATAAAATTCACTTATGTAAACATGTTTCTGCAATCGATCCTAAATTACCAAACGTAAAAACATAAAGATTTTACATATTTGACACCTTGTCGTTTACAGGTTGCTATTTACAAACCAAACTTTTACGTTTACGCTTGACTTAAGAACTTTTACGTTTACGCTTTCTCGTCTTATCCTCCATCAATGAAAATTTAATTATGAACTCAATAAACTTACGCTATCATCGAAAAAAAATCTTAATATGCCTGAAAATAACAAGTCAGCATTTCAAATCACATGTACAATATAATTAGGTGTATTATTTTCAAAAATTATTTCCTGACATAAATTATCACGTAAATTGCTATTTATTTTAATAAAAAAATTATTTATTTCTAAGAATTTGCCGTGAAATGCGAAATGTAGATTTCACAGCCAAACGACTTAAACACATTTGCTAGAATATTTTTTGAGATAAAAAAAATTCACTGTGCTTTTCAGCAAAAAATATGTAAAAACACTGTAAATACGATTTTTATGTATTTGTCAAAAGATTCAATAAGTAAGTGGAAATTACTTAGATTGGAAAGTCAGACGTTTCTAAAGAGTTCAATGATGACGAAAACGGAAGCAAACGTGTTCAGACTTGTTGAGAGGCAGTTTGATGATATTTTTATAGGTCTAAAACCATTATGCTTTTGTGCAAACAACTGGTAAAAAGTTGAAAAACGATAAGCATTACCATAAAATTTCTGATTCCGTTAGTATTCAACATACGCTACTTTTTCGCACTAACTTTTTTTTCCGTTCGATAAATAAAAATTCATACTATTGCTGAAAATTTATTTGTGCAACAAGATTTTGCTAGTATTTCAATGCTTCTAATAACGCAGAAACCTGCTGATTCTAGAAATCATCAAGACTTACTAGTAAAATTCTATGCTGACTTTTAATAATGTATACAATACCGATATGTAAAGGACATTATTACTTGGAATTTGAACTACATTGAAAAAAAAATTTTAAAATCCTAACTTGATTTGAAATCTGTGTGTGTGCGTGTGTGTGCGTGTGTGTGTGCGTGTGTGTGCGTGTGTGTGTGCGCATGTGTGTGTGTGTGTGTGTGTGTAAGGCATCGAAACTGAAATTTTCAGGCAAAACATTATGCTTTTGCATAGTGCGAGAAAATGAATTCAAACGAAAAAATATTGCCATGAAAAATGACAATGAGCCGAAATAGAATATCTATTTACTTATTTATTTATTTATTCATTCATTTATTCATTTACCTACCTATCTACCTATTTATCCATCTATCAAATAATCTTCCTATCTATCCAGCTATCGGACTAAGAACTTATAATCGTTTCGTGCTAGCGAACGAAAGGATTAAAAGTTTTTCGAGCAAACTTATTTTGCACATTGTTGTCAATAAATAGGAACAAATATTTGCTTCTTTAGCGTTATGTTACTTACTATTAGGACAAAAATAAAATCCAAAAAAGTTGAAGCATTGCGTTTTAAAGAATTTTATTCTTTTTCAATTCCTATAAATTATTTATTTTTATCGTTATTTATTCAATACTCATGCAAACAATTTAAAATTCAAATTTACTATTAGATAGAAAAGAAAGCTAAAAAAGTGTCATTACTTTGTTAAAATATGAATATGTATATAAATTAAAAAATCATAATTAAAATTATAATCAAAAACTTATTTTTTTACGACTGATTTTGACTTGATTTAGGTTGTTTTCAAGTATAATGATAATGATTTTCGTTAAGTTTACGAGTCCGATTGATATTTCAGTTTAATTAAAAAGTTTTTCATTTGAATAAAATTTACTTTTAAACAAGTGATACTATTACCTCTAAATTAAATACAAAAATGAATAATTAACTTAATAGCATATTTATTTTTGATTTTTAACTTTAAGTTTAAATGGTTGCAAACAAATCTTTTAAGTTTAAAATAGGTTTGATGTAGAAATAATTAAGACTTAAAGAGATACTTGGTTTTTTCGTTATTTGAGTTAATAGCAAAGATAATTGGTTGTTTATTTAATTGCAAAAACTTTTGTTCAAATTTAAGAGCACTGAAATTAAAAATTTTTAGCTTAGCCACTAAAATTCTTCCGTACTATTTGAATTCATTAATTTTTAATAACAACAAAATTTAAAACTAAGTTTTTTTCACCATTCAGCGATAATTAAAGTTGAAAAAATAAACATAAAACAAAATGATATCAGCAGAAACTTGTTTGAAAATAATGGACAACTTATATGTCAACAAGTATTAAGCATATTTAAAGTATTATTTAAATTTATTTTTCATTACAATAATATACATTTAAAAAATGTCGCACAAAAACTTTTTCACCTTTACATGCGATTTTTTTCGCGGATATAAATCGCAAAAATTTGAAATTAATTCGTTTATATTTCATATTGATTTTAATATTGTAGGATATTAAATGCAGAATAATGAATTTGAACATTTTTATACAAAATAATTAACTTTTAATTAAGTAATACTATTTGAGAGGAAAACTAATTATAAAATGAAATCAAAAACGAAAGAGGGAATTTGCGAAAAAGGTAGCAGTGAGATTGTAAAAATTATATAAAAGTCTAAAAGTCGAAATAATACTTATTTGGCCACAGCAGAAATAAATATTAATATATTGTGACAAGATTTTTCTATCTTTTATTGATATGTCAATAATTCCCAAATAAATTTATATTCAGAGCTTTTTAGAAAACCTAAGTTCAAAGCTAACTTGTAATTAGTCATCGGAAATCCTTGAATGCTCTCAAATATATTTACAAGATTAAGAAGCAACTGCTTACTGAACGATATGCAAATTTGATAGCATTTTTTCCAAGAAAAAAATCACAAAGAAAATTTTTTTAGATCAAACTAAGCAGAAGTAGCTTGCTAGAAATATTCTCAGACTACATAGTTATTTGATGGTGATAGGAAAGAACGATGAAAACTTCAAAATTCGTCATTACATTTTTCGAGAATTTATTTGCATGTCATGTGGGGATGTAAATGAGTAGTATGCTAGCTTGGGGTTAGGTGAAAGTATAAAATTTGCATGCATTTTAGTATTTCAGCGAAGTATTTAATTTTATACTGTAGTAACTAAATAAATTCCATTATTACTAGAATAAAAAAATTCATCCTATTATCTATACTTTCAAATATGCTAATTTTTTCTCAATATAATATAATAGAAAGGTAGGTGAAAAATAGACAACAAAATTATTTGCTACAAATTATTCTTAACTTCGCAAGAAGCAGAAATAGCTGAAAGTAAAAATTATTTCATATGGTCGAATAATTACTTGAAAATATATAATAAATTTAAAAGTATTATCACTTCTTAAAAAAATAACGCATAAATTGTGATTATATCAGAGAGCAAAAGAATCTGTGAACGAACTGCGATGAATAATCAAAGTAAGTAAAATCGAAAAATTCAATAAAAAGTTATTCACTTATTTTAAAGAAATATAAGTACACCACATTGTTCAATACAATTACTGGAAATTATTAAATTTCATGCATGGAAGATGAATTTAGCTTAAGGCTATAATAGCACGTTGAAAAAATATACTGCAATTAATGATATGAAAAGCTTTTCATACTCTTTTCATGCTTAATAGTGCTTAATATTATGCATGGAACTTTTCAATTCACTACGTGAGCTTGCCATGACATTAATGTTAACGTGTAAGATCATTACAGTCCATACATAATATTTAAGTAAACTTTAGTTTCGTTGTTCGAAACCTTAATAACATCATAAGTTACTTTGCTTTAATTCTATTTGCTTATTGCTGCTTAGTGTGCTTGATTATTTCTGCATCTTCGTTATAATATCCTTACAGTAAGCCTATACTTTGTGCTAACTGTGATGAATTGAACACTAAAATGACAAATACAAAAATATTATGATTAATAGCATTATCATTCAATAATGTTACTTTTGATCAGAAGTAACGTTTGAGGCTTTCCTGCAGCATAATAAATACCAAAAAATAGTGAGGATAAGAGTTTTAATCGGTGACAAAATTTTTGCAATGCATAAAGCTAATATGATACTCATCGCAATCAACAGGTTCATTGCTTCTATGAAATAATGTTACATTTAAAGTAATTTAAATGTAACATTATTTTTCATTAATGTGTGAGCGCAATAACTGAGTTTCAATAAGCGATTCGCGTAAAAACGTGAATCATTTCTCAGCTTTTTTTCATTTTAGATAATTTTCTAGGGACATATAAAGTAAAGAAATAGCTTAAAGACACATATATGCTTACGTGATAAATTAATTGCCAATAAATAAAGCCAATT